CTTCATTCTTTATTCTACTCCTATTTTACATTACCCATAAAATTTATACAGTATCAACATTCTACGAACGAAAAACAGCTTTAACTTTGAATGTCTTGAAATATGATTTGTTTATAGTACTGTATAGTATTCATAGCACTTGTATATATACTTTTTCGAAGAAAAAAAACAAAAGAAAAATATTTCTCAATTCTTCTCATTAACACTAATTGTCAGTTAAATCGATTAATTATTTTTGCAAACATAAAATTTGTTTTTATTTATACTATGTAATATTATTATTTATTAATTTATAATATGTAATTTAAAATATATAAATTCATTTGGTAAGTCAATTAACGAATAAAGTAGAATTTTTTGAAATCGTGACACGTGACATTTCTCCTTACGAACACAAACATATAGAAACAGAGAAGTATTAACCCTTTACACTCGAGAGGTGACTCTCACAATCAGTCGCCATTTAATCAGATTGTAAAGATCGACGTTAATTAATATATCAAATTTAAAATTACCTAACGATGCGTGGAATGTCGAAGAAAAATAATTCTATGTCTTAATTTGCATATGATTTCTCATTTACCATTTTAAAAATATCGTCGACTCTACGACAGAAAGTCTTCGAATTACTATTTTTCTGTAACGAAAAAGTCGTCGAGTGCAAAGGGTTAATACTTCTTTGGTTACTTCGAGGTTAACCCTTTGCACTCGACGATCTTTTGGCTAAAAATGTGAAGGAGTTCAAAGAAAGATTTTCTGCTATAAAGCTGGCGATATTTCTTTTAATAATAAATAAGAAATCGTATAATAATTAACACGTAGAATTATTTGATTTCGATAGCTCGCACACAGTTACATTATCTTAAATTTGATATATTAATTAATATCGATCTTCGAAATTTTATCTAATGGTAACTGACGCTAGCCTCTCGAGTGCAAAGGGTTAAAAGTATTGTTATTCTTGTGCAGCAAAAATTTAATAATCCCTATGATTAAAGTATGCGCACTATAAGCACATTAATTGAACTCTCGATCGATATAAAATCTGTTACAAAGGAGCACAAAAATGCAGATTAAGATCATATTGTAACGATATCACAATGGAGATGACCCTTCGCATACTACTAATCCAAATTGTTGCGGTAATCCACCAAATCTTTAGACAAAATGCACAGAAGAACTGAAAATAAATTGGAAATTATGAAAAAAGGATTATACCTACAGTAAAATAGCAATCAAATATAACTAAATGAGAAATTAAAGTAAACTGTTAGATCAAAATTTATCTGTACGATTAAAATTTGTCACGAGTAGAAGTCAAAATATTTATATATATATTCGATCGTGGTTTTTGATTTTGTTCGATGTGATATATATAGTGATCGTTAATGACATTATATCTCGTGTTACAGAAGAACAACAGCAGTTGTTTGAAATCGGAAATTAGACAGATAGGAATATTTCTGTATGGCATACACATTTAACCTGAGATACTATGTTTACTATAGAATTAGTTTAAAAGTATGCATACTTTAGTACTCGTGCCTTAAAAGTAAGCAGATAAATAACATGCTGTTTTCAATGTTTTTATCGTGAAGATACTCTACATTAATAAACTTGCTCGAAAATGGTATATCTGTTCTCTTAGAAATTTTATTATAATATAATTGTTATAATGGTATAATTCTGATCTGTTATAATGATATAAATGATATAATGATATGTATATAATATAATTGTAATAATGATATAATTCTGTAATTCTATAGCAATATTCCACTGTTGTTATTATATAGAAACTACTTTCTCTAACGTGAAATTCAAAATAACTTCTTGAAAATATCTGTAACGAAATATTTCGAAAAAATGTTTGAGTTCTGCAATAGGAAAAATCAAAACTAATGGAATATTTCATGAGATAGTTTTGTTTATATTACATCGTAACTATTATCAGGATAAATAGAATAATGTAATCGTTTTGTCACTTTTATATAATATTTGAAAATTATATCCTCGTAAAGATAATAATTATTTTATTATCATAACGAAACTTTAATAACGAAAAATTATATCAAAAGTCTGTATTAAAGTCCTGTGATAAATTATAATATATTACGTTATTATATATTGTCCTAATCGTTCACATAATATTATGTATTACTTTATAGAAATTCTTATCCTATTTACTCCAATTTCCCTTTTATTCTATCACGAATCACTATTTTTATAAATCATTAACTTTTCTAAGGAATTACTCAGCAATAGAATCTCAATGTATTTTGCCACGATCAATAATTTTTATGTTACTTCTGATTAAAATAGCAGTAATTTGCAGTAATATTTTTCGACACTTGTGAATCACTCAACAGCTGTGAATCATAGTGATTCATATTTTCTCAAAACATCGTAGCTAATGGTAATATGTAAAAAGCATAGAAAACTGATTCGAACATAAAATTTTTGTTTCTACACCTCATTGTAATTAAGATAAAATTAATCAAGTATTATAACATTTTTACAAATTTGATAATTATTACACTCGTGTCTACGTGTATAGTTTATTTTAGTAAATAGTTTATTTTAGATAAGCTTGTCGAAAAAATGATACATTTGTTCCGTATTTAACAGCTTTTCATCCATATCGCCATCAAAACATCAAAGAAAGTATCGTCGCGCCAACTGTCCACCGTTTTAGGTACTAAAATCATAAATAAAGCAAATCGAAGTACCGATAACAAATTACGTTTCTAATTCAATTTTTGGCAGAATTCGCGATAAGAAAACGATGGATAAATTTCAATAAGAGTGAAAGTAATCTTTCTCTTCGATTACTTTCCTACTTTGTTTCCATTTTCAAAATTGCCATTGCAAATGTATACACGATGCGTTAACAAGTGGGAACACTTTATTATCCAGGAAACAAAAATTTTGCTCAAGGAACCAGAAATATATTTAAATAATATAATGAACTAAAATTAAAAATAAAAAATCATAAATTATAGTAAAATAAAAATATATAGAACGAAATAATATCATTCTGTTATGCATATCGAGATCATTGACCGAATTAACAGTCATGGTAACCATGTGTTGACATCTTGAAGTATTTATATTTAAAGTAATTGAAACGAAATAAAAATATGACACTGTTATCAATCTCTGTTATTTATAATCATTAATCGAGTATACTCGTAGTTTGTGTACATTGAGATCATAGATGGAACATATTCTCGTTTGGCCTGAAGCTACGAGCTAGAAGCTACAAGCTACAGTCAGTCACGAAAGTCTTCGTACACCCCTAAAACGCACATTTTAGCGAAAATAAATAACAATTTCGTGCAATATTATATTCATCTATTAATATACACGATATTATTAAACTGTATAAAAATGTATCATTTTTTAAAAAATATTTTATACAACGAGGAAAATTTTTAAAAGACAATACATTTTTATATAGCGTATTTAACAATATTTTTCATATTAATAAACAAACATAAGAATTATTTATTAGTATTTTTGAACCATAATAAGTTGCTGATCATCTAAAACCTTAAAAAAATTAAAATTATATTATACGAAAGTGTTGCTTATTTTCTTCACAATAATCATTTTAGGGACTGTACAAAGACTTTTATGACTGACTGTATATACCACGAGCTTTAAAAACAACCGGAACTGAGATATTTAAATGTAATTAGTAGATGACGAAGTATACCGAGGAAATAAAATCTAACCAATCTAACCTATAAACGCAAATTTGTCGTTTTAAACAGATAGTGGTGCACTTTTCGTGGAGTGATTGTAATTTTCAATGATAATTCGATACAAGCCGATAAAATTTTGATCGCGCCAATACACGTTGTTTGCATATTACGTGTTATTTGCTAGAACTCGATAAACAATGGACAGTAGCAATGAAAAGGGTTAATCGCGAAGTACGCAGGGAGGGTGCAGCTCGATAATACGGAAGTACATTCGCATCGTTCGACTTTCGTTGAATCGTTACTATAGCAATGGCGATAGCAAATACACACGGGGCACGATAACAAACTGCTTTGAATTTTCAAATCGCACTATCAAGGAATCACGAGGATCGCTGCACCGTTTCCTCGAGGAAAAACATTTGAATTTCCGAGTAACCGCATGATGCACGCATACACGTACACATACGCGCGAAACGCGTGAGATCGATGAAAATTTCGCGTGGATTTTTCGACTCGGCAACGTCTAGCGATTAACCCTGACAAATTTTCCATCTTCCGTCTATTTTGGAAATGCGCGTCGGGAAACTGCGTCGTGACCCGGTTCACTTTCTTTAAGCTTTCGTTCATCGTCGGAATACGTGGTCGATATTTATTGCACCTTCTTCGTACGGTATTCCCCGACTCGCCTTTCATTTTTCACCTTCCTTCCCGAGAGCTTCCAGGCTAAAGGAAATCACGCGACGCATCTGCAGAATTACGACACCGTTAATCGTAACACCATCGGAATAACACTTCGATCCGTCGTTCGGCGATTTCTCGATTTAATAACGTCACTTATCGAACGACGTCGATCCGGTCGTTCGTTTAATCGCGACACGAATGACGATAAACGGGGAAACAGAAGGAAAGAGGAAGAACGCGGGGATAGGGAAAAGTATAGGGTGGAAATAAAGCTGGAAAGGTATATATCCGTGAGGCGATGTTGCAGGATAAGTACGAGGAAAATTTGTCGTGGAAGACGCGTAACGACCGCGACATCCTTGACACGGAACATATCGTACGCATGAAAATTCCAAGAATTCTCAGGGACAAGGACGAGTTAATATTGACAGCGTGCGTGCATGCGATGGTGGGTAAAAAGCCAGAGAAAGAGAGTGAGAGGGAGAGAGAGAGAGAGAGAGGAAAGACAGTAAAGGAATCGTTGTCTAGACGATCGAGTTTAGCGGAAGATCGATCGTTAAGTTGCATTACGGTGGCAGGCACGGTCACAACAACGTGATAATTACTACTCACTCGACGAGTCAGGGCAGTGTAGCTTCATATACGCGGTCTCGTAGTGTATATCAGGCCATCGGAGCACGGCCGAGCTCGCGGCCTTTCTTCCGCAGCTTCGAGTCGAAAACCACCGTCCGCACTGTATGCCGTGGAGGCAGCACCGCGCGCGCACACACCCGCGCTACACCATTCTCAACACCAGCACGAGCACCACCAGCAGCACCGACGCTAGCACCAGTACCAACCACGACGACAGCGACACCGCTAACGCTTCTATGCCAAGCATATTTTCAACGGCAACGGCAACGCCGACGGCCACTGCCGGCCAGACGAAGACGCAGATGTTAGGCTAGAAAGTGGGGGGGACAGATGCATGAGGAAAGAGGCTATAGCACGAAAGAAAGGGAGAAAAGGAAACGGCTGAGACTGGTCGGGGAACGCTTCGCCGGGTTCCACACCCCTCCGCCCTGATTCTACGTATTATATCCGTGTACCCGTGTGTGTACAAACCCGTGCTAAGCATACATACACACATGCATACATCGCACGCACGCACGCACGTTTCTGTACAGCTATATGGATTGCCCACGTTCCTCGAGATGTAACACACTGCCGCGCGCACCACACAACCGCATACTGCCAGCACACTGACTTTTCCCCTCACGATTTGTCACGTCACTTTTCACCGTGTCTCACGGTCTATCGTTGTCGGCCGCGAGAAAAAATCGCTCGTTAATCGCACTGATCTGTCAACGAAGGTGTCGTGTTTAAATTTCGATGCCAGCTTCGCGGAGGTCGAACCCCGCAGACGTGTCGTCGTCGTCGTTGTAGAACTCCGCGCAGTTCGGCTTCGGATATTCTCGTGCTCATTCGTCGAGCGTTACCGCGCACTTTCGGCCCAGGATCGGAGTTACTCGGCACCCCTTCAGAGCTTCCACAGCCTCCCCGTCTGCTCGATTCCGTCACCCTTTCAACGAGCGAGCAGACCGCGCGGCCGAGTTACTTCAAACTTTATCGATGACGAACGCGTATACCGACAATTCTAGTTTATATATATATATATATACATATATATTTTATTAGTATATCAAACGGTACAGAGAACGCCTGTGTCATGACTATCACCTGTTTCCGCCGATTTTCCCAACAAAAATGTATCCGACATTCTCGCTTCTGTCGTCCTTCCTATCAAGAGTAAATGTCGAGCGTTTTAAATCTATGGATTAAAATGTTCACTGATAAATCGTTATTAAAGTAATTCCTCGGTTTTCTCCACTATCGAAATTTGTATTCTCGATAAAATAATATTTTGTATACTAGGAACCCGACAAATTTTATTTTTGGTTATATATTTTTGAATATATTTTCTGGTAATTTTTAACTATAATATTATTTAAAATAAAATTATTTCTCATTCTTTATTACTGTGAAAGTTTATTGCTATGAAAAGTCAGATTAACGTTTTTTAACTTTACGTGAATAATCTTAAAAGTTTCTGTAAAATATATTGCATACGTTTTACATCTATCATGCATGAAATATAAACTTGTACCACTTTTTATCGATATCGGTATTTTTATGTCTCTGACAGTAATAGCGTTTTCAATATTCGGAAAGAATTGCGATTTTAATAATAGCAATAATAACGCGAATAATTTTTATGAAAATAGTTTCTTGAAAAAATTTTTAGGAGTACATTTAAGTATGAAGTTTTACGTTGTTTTACAAATTGAATATTAAGAACCTGAACAAAATGTTTGTTTCTATTTTCTTTTTAGTTACTTTATAGACAAACAGTCGATTAACTATCGTTAATTAACAATGGCTAATCGATATCCCAAGATCTATACCAGGAATTACCAAATATTATTTCATCTAGTTTACTATAAATAATTTTAATATAATGACTTTAAATAAATCCTTTTACTAATTTTTTCTTTCTTTTTTTTTAATGAACATATTAAATAATAATAATAACATTGGCATAATAATAAATATATTTTCATACTGATACACTATCTACCCAATTTATGTTAAGGATATTAAGTAATTATAAATATCTGTTATAGAGATCATTGCTCCTAACAAGGTAAGTGTTAAATAACAATATTTTATGTAATTTCTTTATCAATTTTTGCAGTAACTATTAAATGAATCATTATTCTTGTCAAAATATGTCTCTATTTCTGCTTGAATTAACTAAAATTTATTTTTCCTAGTGACTTACATATACTGTTGAAAGTGCAAATTATTTGATTTAAACACAAATTATTAATCATTTTATTACTTACCCTTTTATTCTTCCAGGAATGTGAAATCTTTAGCTTCTTCGTTCATTTTATTTTTCTTTTTCCTTCTTTATTCTATGAAATTTTATTCTTTATTATTTATCAAATTTACATGTGGTACTTAATTGAAATATAAAGAAATATCTAAGTAATAATTTTAATAATAAAAGGTGTTAGCAAACTATGGCATAAAGATGGACGATTTTAAATGACTATAAAAATAAAATAAAGTATTATAATTAAATAAAAAACGTGAAGAAAGAAGTATATAATATAGCACAGTATTAAAAATGAAACGTATGAGATTTTATAAATTCATAAATTTGATAAATTTTGTTACGTTAAATACTCATACTTGATGAAATAAAAATTTTTTTTTAATTGTTAATTTATTTGAAATAATAATCGTAATAAAATAAGTTACGTTACATTAACAACGTGAAATGATATATTATAACCTCACTTATGTTGAAAAGTAGCCATAGTAAAATTTAACAAACGCTTATTATACTAAATGATTTTTATTATAGTAAATAACATTATAGTAAATAATCGATTAACATTTACGCTACCGTTAATTTTTATTGCTACGTACCTATTACCCGGATAGAGGGTAACGTAATAAAGCGCAAGATTAATAACGATTTGCTAAATCGAATATTTTATTGATCGACAAAGGGTTGAATAATTAAAGCGATTTTATGAAATATATGAAACTGAAACGGAAAAAATCTAACTACGAAATAAAAAACTGACGACATAAGTGTAGAAACAAGCTAGATGGAACATTTCAAAACATTGCCGAGGTCAAATGTATAGCGAACATTCTAATTAAAATCTTTTCAGTGACCGTGGCGAGCGAAGTAGGCTTTTGAAGAAAAAATTTATAGCTATAGTGCGATCAACCGCGGACTAGAGAATAGTGAAGCGATAATGGTCTCGTGAAAAATAGAACATTGATATAATGGTACATTGATAACAATTGAATTTGATATTATATTTATTAGTATTACAGTAATGCGATTTTGTATCTAATCGTTTAAGATATTCAATGTATATGTTACTAGCTATAAACGTTTGTCGAAAAGGAAGATAAAGAAACGAATGATAGAAAATTTTGCAAAATAACAAAGCTAACGGTAAGGTGAACAAGGAATAATTTCTACGGGTCCTGCTTGACCTTGGCACACCAATGGCGTCACGGAGGCTAGTAAGCTATAACAAAACGTTCTGCACATGTGCGGTGTTGTCAGTGAAATATCTTGAAACAGTGACGTAGCAAATTACTTCTAATTGATGTCTATATTGATATTGGTTCTCATGTTTTAATTCTTTGTTCCTATTTCTGCGTTAAACCAAACGACGAACAAAACTTCAAATTTTTTACGCAATTCTTTTGTTATTGAAAAGTGTTTTATATGTAGTACCACTTTTCACTTCCTAATATCTATTTTCCAACATCTTTATAACGATTTTGATGATTATCTCTCATTAACTTGGTTCATTAGCTTATGGTATACGTGTTAACACCGATGTATTTAAATTTATAGCCAATAAAATATATCAATTATAATGTTCCATTAACAAAATTTGAAAATTTTGTATGGAAATTTGTATCATTAATATCATAATTGCTTTATTAAGCGATTTTTATACTCTTATATATTTACGAAAGTATTTATTTAAATATTTGTAATTGATAAGGCAATTTGACGCAATTTCAAGTTCTAATTTAAAAAATTCGTCTTTATAGTATATGAACAACATGAATAATTCGAAAGAATCAAAAATAATGATACTTTATGTTCAGTACCTTTACATTAATACGCTACTGCTCTGGGGACTTATTGATCAATGATCAGTATATATATATATGTATTGAAGTTTTGCGCACGCCATTTCAGGGAACATGCTGTCGGTTTGTGGCTCTTGACGGTCCATCTTTCGTCTTGTAAGCAGACAATTATGAAACATTTTGCGTGTAAATTAAAATTTAATTAATAATTTCTCAATAAATACTCGTTTCATGCGGTAGATTCGTCAATTTTATTAATCAATAACTAATAATCATATTAGATAAATTTAGCAATAAAAAATTTTTAAAAATGTTTAACAGTTACTTAAAAGTATTTATGGTTATTCATATTAATGCATTATTTTTACTCCTTTGCTGCAATAAATATATTTCTATTGTTTAGTTTATTGTATGTTTTTAAAAGGAACCATTATAATAATGTATTGTTTATTTAAAATATAATTTACTTATTATTCTTTATTGTTTATTATTACTATTTTGATAATACGTAACAATAATCTATAATATTGTGATTACACAGTGATAATAAATATAATCATTTTATTTGTATTGCACAGAGTATGCCACGATAAGAGAGAAGAAAAATTGGTTAATTAAATGTAAGTATTGAAAATGATGCTTAGTCAACTAACAGACACCGTAAGTGAAATAATCATAAGAGAAATTTATTTTACTTTTAGCGTAGAATCAATTAGAAAGCAAATGTAATTGTCGATATAAAATATATTTTTCTGTTCAGAAGTACATTTCAAATTGACATATGTTTAACAAAATCTTTAATAATAATGCCTATGAAACCATATATGTAATTTGTGTTATTACTTTCATCTCAAGTTTTGTATTTATAACTCGATAAGCAAATTATTTCCAGTCTGTATTTTTATGCTTATATTACAATTAATTTAATTGACAATTATTTAAATCATTGCAAAACAGAGATTCTAAAATATCTTGAAACTAGCTTTTTTTATATCTAATCACAATGAAAATTTAACAGACATTTTTCAATCATATAATTTTATTTCAAAATAGTTTACTTTATTAATAATTTATTTCCTATTTTGTATACCAAAATGCAAATGTAAAGATATATTATATTATTGAAAACAAATAAAATTAATTTTTAGTAGAAGAACTAT